ACTGTGATTATACTATTATTACTTATAGAATGACATAATCATAAAATAAATATGTTGCTTTTCTGCAATTCAGCATACATAAAAAATTACTCATGTTTAAAATATGCACTGAATCGCATTTGCAGACTGAACTTAGCCCATTGTTAGTCTATTTTTGTGTTAAGAAAATTATATTGTACTAATAGTACACAATTTCAACTGATTCAATTTAGTATTGTAAAAGGAACATTGTGGTAACTAACTGAATGGAATACGGTAAAGTGCATAATTCTATTTTTGACAATACGTCTCGAATCATTGTTAATCTAAAGGTCCTAGACCTATTCAGGTCATGCAATATCAACAATTACACAAGCAATAATGTAAATATTGCCTCTGTTATTATGGTTAACTTTTATAATCAAAAAGTAAAGATTCTACAATTTGTCTCTATTTTCTTATATTTGTATTATACAAAAATTTAACAAGTCTAATTTGTCCCCATCTTTTATTTGATCTGAATATTTACTATATATATATATATAGTAAATATTCAGATCGAATAAAAGACATGGGAACTCGTGAATACAAATGTTTCTACATTGTGCGAACATCGAACGCGTGACTATCGTCAGACGATCCAATTTGTTAAACCGCTACATCACCAAGGTTGTCAAATGTTGACGACGAAACGTATATGACGCAGGCACTTCAATTTGTATTGAACACTAACGAGTCAATAAACTACTTTGACGTTACAGAAATAAAAAAACTGACTGTTTTTTAGGAAATCCCATCCAGAACAAAAAAAGACTGATGATAATGACTGTTTTTATTAATCTTTGAAACATTTTTCACCATACAAAGGAATTCAAAACCAAAACGAAAAAAAAGTACACGGTTACGTATGTTCATGTACCTATATTCGAGGTCTTATTAATTTTATTCACTAATGTTTATTCATATGGGATTTTTATATTTTCTTACATAGATGGCTAGTAGGTATTATAGACTTGAACACTACCACAACCATTATAAAGTGAAGTTATGACGCCCGCCCTTATGCTTTGCTATTCCTGCGGACGAAAGTGTTGGAACAATAGTGGCACAGTTTCATTCAATATAATGTAGAGATTGGGACAAATAAATGTAGAAAAATATGGTTTTGGTTTAGTAAGTAAAAACTGAAGTGAAATATATAAAGCAATACCTACAGATTACCTACAGCAGTACCTACTCATGTGACTCCAAAAGAATATAAAACAAATACACCTTTTTATTGTGAAAGGGTATGTTAATAATGTAATGTTATGTAATATAATGTTAATAATAATAAAGATAAAAATTGTATACAAAGATGAGGAGTTTCACGCAGAAAATAAATAACTACAATGTAGGTACATATACTTAATAAAGGCGACAAGAATTTGTGATATATTGAAAAATAACGGAAGGAAAAACAATCTACGTGTAGGTACTATTACATTTTCGCTAAATACCAATATACCTACACGATGCATTTATGTATAAATACACAAATATAGCGTATGAACCGCAATGTTCATTGAACCATACTCGACATTCGCTGTAGTGAATGTAATGCTACAGTACAACGCTTGTTTTCAGCAGAAACCTTAAGAATTGTATAAACTTATTCATTTATACATTTTTTAAGGTAACATTTATAGTCAATAAAAGATTCCTTATTTTAGTAGTCATTTACTGCTATCCGTTTAATTACATACAGCTATATAATAGTAATTCATTGTGTGCCTAATATTAGCTTTTTTTAGACTGTTTTACATATTATATTACATTGACTAAGTAGTCTAATTTTAGAATATTGTTAAATTAACTGAACACGCAACGCAACAATAAGAGCGACCTAGACACAGAATTTTCTCTAAGTGTTACTCTCTTCAGTTGTTTTTCACAATTATCCTTGATACCATGCATATATGGTATTAAGATTTAGTATTATTCAATAGTCAATAGATACCAAAACCAAGACACTGATAATAACAATATTAGTTCTTATTGTTTTTGTATTTCTTGGATAGTTTTTGTATCGTTTCTTATTCGATTACAAATGCTTAGTATCTACTGACGTGTATATACTGACGTATTCGCGTTATAATTACTTGTATTATTTTCTTTGTTTCTTAAACTAAGTATATAGGTTTATGTATAAGTAGGTAACATATATTTCAGTAGAAGATCTGTAACTTAATCATAACTTTATCTCTAAATTCCCCAACATTTTAGGTAGGATAGGCAGTGAGAAAGATTTTTTCTACCTTGATTAAAAGAAATAAATTTACTCCCTTGGGGAGACAGGTTTCTAATGGGAACTATTGCCCCCTTAATTATTACTCGTTTTTCAATAATAATATGATAATGACTAGTAATACTGTTTACTAATGTACCAATCGACATAACATATGTTTTAAAAAATTTTAGATGAATAAAACCCACTATGACTAAGTAGTAGTATCTCTATTAATTCCCGCTAATATGGGAAATATAGTTTCATAGATTTACTACTAATAACAATGACACTAACACAATTGGTAGTGCCAATTTGAGACAACATACATACATTCATACATACATTTGGGAATACGATAATACGACAAATGTATGGTAAGTACACAAAGTAAGCGCAACAATATATATGCAGAAGTATACATACAATAAAATCTTAAATAAGAATATGATAAATAAAATTAGTGAAAAAATGGATGATGCGCCCTAATTTCTTTTATATAAATAGGTATAGCATATCACGACATGTCAAGCGTTGCTGTAAGGACGGTCAGGGTTACTCAATGTTTAACACGCGATTTGGGCAGGAATTTTATAATAATCAGTCTGGCCGTGGCAGGTATTTTTACAAGATTTGTGGTTACATTCAATGAAGCATATTTAAAAAAATATGTTCCCGAACTATTAAAAACACATCTAAATATTTGAAAGATAAAATGTCACGACATATGTGCGACTCAGTTTATCCGTAATTTTTTAGTATATTGAACGTTGAAAATTATTCTTCTTTTTTTTCTTAATAATTATTGTTATTTATGGGTCGGGTCGATCATTGTATTCAGAATTAATCATCAGATTTCATGTATAATAGTCAATTAAGGGAAAATAGCAACTGTAACTGATAACATGAGAAAGAAGGTTATAGTTAGAGGCCATTTATAACTATTCTAATGGGGCTAGCAGGGCCGCAGTTGGCCTTTATAGCTTCACCGAACTATAGGGGGAGAGTGAAAATGGCACTTCGTGTGGAGTAATTTGCACATGGCCTATTTTCTTGATTTTTTACATTCCCCTACAGCTTTGGGGCCCCCAAATTATGACATACGAATTTTACAATTTTATCATCTCCGTCTTTGTCACAGTTTGACACATTTGTGTCACGCCCCTCCCTAGTGTGACGTAACATATTTAAAAACTGTATACTAATAACCAATTAAAACTTAGATATTGAAATATAACGTTAAGAAATTTAAGATCTCTCCCACCCCCGTCACGCAATGTCATACAATAACAACTCCCTTCCTCCGCTCAACGTATGACATAATTTATGTATGGTCCCTTATCACACACAGCTGGTCACATTTGTTTGTTTATGTCCTCTCAATAGTTTGACATTACATACTTTTACATAGTAAATGCCTAAATAAGAAACAATAAGCAGTTTCGAAATTAGTTTTCTTTCCATTTAAAAACGTGGGTTTTTAAATGTGACATCATAAAATGTATGACTCTGCCAACCCCTTGTCACGCTATGTCACACATCTACTTAATCTGAGACTTAATTAATGGATGATCTCTTAGGGCATGTTTATGGAGAGAAATGAGAATGATATAGCTATACCCAATTGGAAAGAAGTGAGTCTGAAAATAGAAAAGAACTAAACGAACTTAAAACAGTTTGCTGAATTGTGTTCAAGAAGATGCGAGTATTAGTGTTGTGACGAGTAAGTTGATTGAATTGAGGTCAAAATGAAAATCGAATACATGCTTGGCCGATTACCAAGGTCTAAAGGATGATGAGTATGACGATGTTGGGGGAACGTCACTAAGGAATGTATAAGCTATTTGTATCGTAGTGGTTATTTTTGTAGTGGAAGGGATGAAAATTCTGGTTATCCACTACATGTACCTAACTCTACTAATTCAAGATTATACGTAGGTAAGTGGCAAGTGTGTATTACACAATTATCAATTATTTAAATATGTGTTTAATAATTTATTTGGTCGATAAATTAAATTTAAAATTCAGTTTCACTAAACACATGATTCACAGGATCATCTAACAAAGAAAAATTCGATAAACACTATTCTCTATGTACTTACTGCTAAATAACTATCTAGAATATTAATACATTTATTATGTATGTCTATAACAATTACAATCTTATGTATAGGCCTAATTGGTATATGAATATGTCTATAATTATTATACCATATTTGATATGGGAAACGTCACTAATGAGTATCATGTAGATAGAGTGTTTTTATGGATTACTAATGTTAATGTTTTTTTATGTAAACCCAATTTAACTTTAAAAAACTACATCAAGTTACAATTTTGTTGTTGTTGTTAACCAAATTAACTACCTACCTATGAATGGTTATTAAGGACGTATTAACTTAGTTATTACGTATAGAGCAGTTTGATGTTGAAAGTAAATACGATCATTTTTTTTTGTGATAATATTCTTATATAATAGTAATTAATTAGTATTGATTTTTTGTTCTAATAATCTCATTTATGCGAACCATCTGAAAATTGGCTGGAACAGTAAAGGTTTTCGTATCTAACATCAAATAATTTGTACCTCGATATATCCTGCAACCTATAAGGAGAAACATTTTTGCACAACACAAGTTGAATTTTCATTTCATTTTAATTATGGAGTAAATATTAAATTAATTTTTATGCATTTATATAACTAATATATATATATATATCTATCTAAATAATTAATAATATAAATTATTCTTACCTAATTTAAATCTATTTAGCTTCGAGCGAAGACGTTAGTTTAACTGAACAGGAATCGGTTGTCACAAAGTTCTGTAAACTAGCATGTTTTTTTATAATGTCAATGAAATTAGACTAAGTAAATATCACAAACAATCAAATAAACTCGCGTCAAATATCACTTTTGGGAACCATTTCACGTCACTTGAGTTCCTTAATGAGTGCATAAGGTACTGTCTATTCACAGCTCGTGGTTGGTACACTTAGGATTATTATTTCAGATTGTTTGTATAATATATCGACTGGCTTTCGATGTTACGTCGAGCAATAGCAACGTGTTTTCGCGCTGAAGCAAACCGTATGTGTGGCTACGGGTCGCGCGGCGTATTACGTTTTGCACCTCCTATGTAGTGCACTTTACGCCCCACCTTCATTGTTATTGTTTCTTTTTATAAAGAGTACTAATTAGCAGTTAGTTAAGATATTACATGCCGGATAATTACTAACTAAACTAAGATTTAAAATACTAAACGGAATCAAAAATGTAAGGCAATGTAGGGTTAAGGTCACACTATCTGCACTTCCGTCGTTAATAAACAGATCTACCTATTATCGTCTCTACAAAACCGTGTACATTTATTTTCAATACTATTACATTTAAGTAATCAATTAAGTCATGTACTGAAATTAATACTATTTCATTTGCAGTCTTTTACTACTGAACTAGTTATTTGGATATTTTTTTATACCACGAAGGTAGCAAATGAGTATGTATTTCTCTTAGAATGTATAAAAGGAACTAATTTACATATAATATTTCTAATGATTTAGTAGGTCAGTCAATTAGAATGAATCCTTTAGTGGTATAATTATTAAATATAGTGGTTAGGTTGATAGCTAACAACAAACAACACAAACTATGTACGTATCATGCTGCTCCAGCGCTTTCGCGTGCATATTGTAATAAAATCAGTGCTATTGCTTCATTTAGTTTATATTCCATAATAAATAATATATACATCACATAAATATGTTAATAATACTCAGTTATGTAATTAAAATTCTACTCCTTTGTATTTATGGCATTAAAATAAGTGTAACTCACTAAACATTTATTTAGATAATGTTCATAGGTATGAGAAATATCAAATACAGGTAGGTATATCTGTGGTTGCTTGTATAAAGAATGCCATCCAGAAAACGATATGTTTTTAAACTTACTTATGTGAATGAAAGTACCTATAAGTACATACCTATTATAACACTATATATAAATAAAAATAAATTTAAAAACTAAAATCAGACTACTGAAAAATCACATCCTTAAATTTCACAATTTCAGAAAACATTTAAACTATTTCAGACGTATGTCTCTTTTAGGACGTAATGTATTAGTAGTGGACTGTTATGTTCAAGTTTGAATGATTTTGAGGTTATAATTTCTATTTCAACTAGATTTCTAGGGAAATTGTGTTCACATCCGAGAAGCGATTTTACACACTATTCCCAAGGTGCTTGTAAGAAATGTATTATTTTAACCCTTCAGATTGAGCTTAATCTGACCATGGTTTAATTAATCATTTTTTTAGACAACGGCCTTCGTTTCTCAAGAAAATATCGTGTTAAATTTAATGTAAGAGGCATTGTTTGATTTGCCAAAATCAAGAAAAATAAAAAATCAGGAATTTCCTTTTTGAAGTTGGTTGAAAATATGACATAATTTTTTCTAATATTTTACGGTCTGGTCGATCCGATAAATCACAATGGGAGTTAGGCTGCTTCGTTCTTAGTTACTCCGTCACAATTAATTGATTGTACATAGTTGAGTGAAATTTATACACACGTACACTAATAGATCATGTCCTAGATTAATATATACGGTGTCTTTTGCTTGCTTTCGCACCGTTCCATGTTCCACGGGGTAAAAGTAAACATGGATCCAGTTATATTTTTTTCGAGAATTCAAAGATGTTTAAGTAAATTGCGATTATGAATTACCCAGCGCTAATTACGTCGATTTAGTTCAAATATACAATTGGAAGGTGTTTAGGGAATCCCCATCGGCGGCGTAGTATAATGTTTTGAATCGTGACATAACAACATCACTTTAAGATCATCGTTGCTTTACTTTAACAAAACGAGATCCCTTTGTCTTTTTAGGAATTTATGGTTGTAGCTTTAAAAAAAGTTCATGTTAGATGTGTTATTTGTTAATGGTGCACCCGCTTGCACTATCGATAGGTATACACTGGAGTTCTAGCAGTAAAAGATGATTGTAAAGTACGAGGATAAAGTACTGTCAGTTAGTTCATTGAGATAATTCCCATTGGACATAACCATGGCGGCTCGACCATGTGAAGATCGACTTGATATAGTACATTCCTAGAGGCACTAATCCCCTTTATTAATAATCCCCTCCACGAGCCATAAATTTGTTAATAGAAATAAGATTCGAGTTTGACCGATAAAAAGACGAGAACGCGTTTGTTGTTCAAATGGTCGAAGATGACGTAGACGAACTATATGACGTAACATATACCTAGTATGTGAATATAATTGTAATATTTAATATTTACAAATAAATATACAATCAAATTGAATAATCGTTTTTAAAGTTGGTCGTATTGAATAAAGTTTGTGATAGAGAAGGACTTCAAAATGGCTAAATATAGAGTCCTCGACTCTGAGGTTTTCATAAGGTACCCTAAAAATGAAAGAAACTAGGCTGTATAATTATAGGAAAAAAAACCAAAGATATTTATCTGAATTGTGGCGTTAATCGCCTGGACTCTTTAATCCGCTACACTGTAACAATAGTCGTGAACTATTGCATATTCAACTGTTCCTTACCAAAGCGTGACGATGAAACAGATCATGCGATTTAGCTAAACCAGGGTCGCCGGTATATTATCGGACATGAACTACGTTGTATTGGCGTTTAAACTGAATTAATTTGAGTCTGTTATTATTTTGTGGATGACATTATATTTTTGTGAATCTAAAGAATATCGTAAAGAGGTTTGAATTTAATGGATTTCTTTGTAATGGAGAATTTGAATAATATATACTGGTAATCTAATATCATTACATAGTATAAAACATAGTCGCTGTCGCTGCCTGTCCTGTCTGTCTGTGTATGTATGCTTAAATATTTAAAACTATGCATCGGATTTTTTAATGTAATAGATAGAGTGATTCAGGAGGAATTTTATGTATAATACATGTACACCCGTCCGAAGCCGGGGTGGGTGGCTGGTTAGTAATATTCTCAAGGTACTACTTGATTGATTGCATAGAACAATTATATTTGCTAGAAACTCTTTTACTTCTCCAAAAGGGAAAAATAAGCGATTCCAAAGTTAATAATAGTATTAACCACAAATGTATTTTTATCTTTGGCGATAATGGATTCAAATGGAACGAGGTCTCAAACAAAAAAGCCAAAATAATATGTTTGTCGAAGTGGATGGAAAATTCGTTTCACCTGTGTTGTTTGTCAAACAAGTGTAGAACAAACCTGTCCATTGCAATCGACCGTCATGTTTTCTTTTTGAACGATAAGTTTCAGTACATACATTTATTTAATTAATTGGAAAGGATTCATAATAGTTCTAATATAATACAGTGAATGTTGCTGAAATTCAAGTAGGTACGATATACTCTTTCAGATTCTATATTGAAAATCCATCAAATTTGAAAACTGTGAAAGTTTGTAATGATAATTATTTTGATCATCATATTGTAAATATATAATTGGACAGTGAATATAAGATTGATCACAACCTAAATTGATATCCTAAATACACATATCCATAGGATATGTGTATTTAGGATATCAACACATTATCCATAGGATACAGAATCCGTACAAAAAATCGCAGCTGGACTGCACGAAATCTACACATACGTAAGTATAATAATTTAACGTATTAAAGGTGTTTAATAGCTTTACTGTAGCATTTGCAGAACTATATTTACAAATTCATTCATATATTGCAATACTATTTGTAAGAGAAAATATGTATATCCAATAAGTATCCGGATTATTACGAGGTGTCTTTGGTAAGCTATTGTTTTTTTTTAATTGCCCAAGTTTAATCTCTCTCGATTAGTTTCGATTATTCTGTAACAATTATCACAATACCAGTTAATAGTTTTCTTTTTTCTTCAATTGCGGTAAATGTAGAAATGCAACACTATAATTAACTCGTAGTAAATACTACAGGTATACCATTTAGCTTAAAGTTTTATTAATACCAATAAAGTTAACATATGCACATGTATGTACTGCACATGTATGACAATTGGTGATTGAATTAATTATTTAATAAATGAATGAATTATTGATTTAATTTAGAACATTAACATCCTGACTTTAGTATTCATACCTATTTAAATAATAATAAAAACAAATATTGACAACCAGTTAGACTGATTTGATCAATTTTAGAGTAATATTTGCAATTTTTATGACATTCATCAAAAAGTTGCAAGTATATGGACTTGGAGGTAAACCTGACATGTTGCTTTACTGACAATGGATCATGTCAGTCCCCATTACTAAAAGTCTCCTCCCACCATCTGTGGCGGTTGGTACCCACAATTGTAATAATTCATGTTTAGTTGTAATGTACCGTTTACAAAAAAAATCAGTATCAGCAAAATGCAATGGTGAATAACCACTAAAACCACTGTTGTTTGAAATTAGTATGTCATTTAATATTCTTATTTATAAGCAGATTTTATGGAATAAAATTAAAATTAAAATCGGAAATAAAATTTTCCATTATATTATTTACTTAGATATTTCTTAGGATGTATGTAGAACAAATGTCTACTTATTAGGCAGGCACTAATTATTCCTGCCAATATATTTGTAGACATATGTAGATCGTACGGACGCTGAAAAGAGATACAGTTATTTTGTATCGTGGTACAAAGTTACCTATTAGTCACAGTTTCATTTCAAACACTTGTCATTCAATTTTCATAAACAAATGTAGTTATGTCGTCATTGGACGAGATCTATATGAAAAATGCAACCTTGTCACGCCACAAATCTTTCTTACTACGCCTCCTATTGTAAAGGTACCCGACGCGACCTTAATCTTTATAAGCTGGTGAAATAGCCGATAATTATTCTTAACATTGTTGTCTATGAAATTGTAATTCCGGAAGGATTTGTTTGTAACTCAGTTATTGTTAGTTGTCGATGATTACTACTTATTGAACATTCAGTTCAATAAAGGCTGTGGAAATAAAAGGGTAATATGTTTCCTAGATTGTGTGATCTCTTACACAACTATAAAGTCTGCTATTTATATAAAACTTGCCGATGATTGATTGGTAAATATGT